TATGGTAAGGGTCCATTGGTTTCCTAGACACCCAAATTTAGGGAAAGACTGATTTCAGTTATATGTTATAAAAATAAATGCAGCAGAATAGCATGGTGACTAAGAGATCTTCTTATTAACTAGGTCTGATGTCTGTCTCTACTACTTGCTAGATGTGTAATCTTTGACCAGTAACCCAAATTTCTCTCACCATCTGCACAGCAGGAATCAATAGAACTAAACTCTTCGGAATGGTGGGAGGAGTAAATGAGAATATTTATAAGGACATCTGAATAGCTCAATATATTTTAAGAGTTAAATTTATTTTAAAGTTAACAATCTCCTCTCCAAAGCCCTTCAACTTTTAAAAGTAACATTCTATAAAAATTGAGTATATGTTTTACTCCCATATTTAAAATAAGACAGTTGTAGTAGTCTGTTCTTGCACTGCTATAAAGCAATGCTTGAGACTGGGTAATTCATAAAGAAAAAAGGTTTGATTGTCTCACAGTTCCACAAGCTGCACAGGAAGCATGGCTGGGGAGGCCTCTGGAAACTTACAATCATGGTGGAAGGCAAAAGGGAAGCAGGCGCATCTTACATGCGGGAGCTGGAGGAAGAGAGCTAGTGGGGTGGTGACACACATTTTTAAACAACCAGATCTCGTGAGAACTCACTCTATATCAGGAGAACAGCAACGAGAGGATTGACGTTTACCTACTAGAAACTGCCCCGTGACCTAATCACCTCCCACCAGGCCTCACCTGCAACACTGAGTATTACAACCGAACATGAGATTTGGGTGGGGACACAGAACCAAACCATATGAGTAGTCTACCTATTTGAGATGAAAAAAAAAAAGAATGTTTTCTATGCAAGCTCATGTTTAAGAATATATTAAACAGAGTCATTTTGTGAGGCCAATATGGAAATAAAATCTATGTCAGTCAGAATGAATTTGCCCTCCTTGAATGAAATGGCCTCCAAATGTTCTGAGGTGACACTGATGCACTTTTCTGGTCCCAGTTAAAATGAAGTGGGACTCTGTGCAGGCTGGGACAATGGCATATTTACCTTTATATTCTACACAGCACCTATTACATTACTTTCCACCCAATAGATTCCCAATACATATAGTCTAAATTCTAATGAACTGCAGGTGCCTTAGTCCTATGGCATTTTTGAAGTAGTTGATGTTTTATGCCTTGGATTTCCTTATGGCATATTTTCAGGTAACAGCTCTTAGTTGGGAATGCACCTCTCTTTAGAACCAAATATTCCGCCTCAGAAGTAAGCAAATGATCCTGCATTGAATTATCTATTCCCATTGCTTTAGGACAGAGTGGAGTGGAGAAAATATTCATGTCTGGGGCATGGATTATAGAGATGTGCTTTCCTTAGGTAGGGGCAGACAAAACTTAGATTGCAGCATCCTGCTAAGGAAGGCCACGCTATGTTTTGATTTGCTAGAGCTGCCATAACAAAATTCCACATACTAGGTGTTTAAAAAAAATCGAAAGTTTTTTCTCACGGTTCTGGAGCTCGAAGTCCAAGACCAAGCTGTTGGCAGGGTCGTTTATTCTGAAGCCTCTCTCCTTTGACTTGTAGACCGTCAACTTTTCCCTGTGTCTTCATATCATTCTCCTTCTGTTTGTATATGTGTGTGCATGTGTGTATGTATCCTGATGTCTGCATATAATGACACCAGCCATAATGGATTTGGTCCCATACTAAGGACCTCATTTTACCATAATTATCACCTTTAATGTCTTTTCTCCAGATACAGTCACACTATGAGCTACTGGAGGTTAGAACTTCAACATATGAATTTTGAGAGTACACAATTCAGCCTGTAACACCATGCTACATAAAGTTTTGTTAGACTCAAGAACTTGTTCCTGGGCCACAGGTGGAATCTTGTTCTACTTTTATCTTTCAGTCCAGTGCCCTGTCTTTCCACATACCACTTGCTGTTATGTTTCCAACAGTACATCAAGAGGAAAAGCAGAAACCATGTCAGGCTAAAGAAAACCATGGGTACAACTCACATTGTTGCCACATTCTAGGGTATGTTGCTTTCTAGAGAAACTATAGGGAAAGCTAGGCAGATATGGCTTCTGTTCTCAGGAAGCTGAGTCTAGAGTCTAGCTGGGAACTGGTCAAGTCATCCGCTAAGGAATGTATAATTAGGACGTGAGGCAAGGGCTCTGATGATAAGCAGTGTGATTTTCTGAGAGGAAAGAACAAAGAACAGAGAACTGCTCTAGGCCAGAGTGTGGGGGTTGTTTGGGGTGACTGTGGGCATTGTGATCGTGGTAGCAGCATGGGCAACTGGCATGGAGTGTTCAAGAAACCAAGAGAAGGATAAATGTAAAGGGTGTGGGAGGTGTTGAGATGAGACTGGAGGTGAGACAGAACAGGGAATCTGTGGTCTCCTCCTAAGTTCAACCGGAAGCCACAAGGGACCTGAAGCATCGGGGCGGAGTGACATGAAGGACTTTCATGACTAAACGGTATTATTTGGCTGGGTGCAGTGGCTCACACCTGTAATCCCAGCACTTTGGGAATCTGAAGTGGGAGAATCACTTGAGCTCAGAAGTTCAAGACCAGCTTGGGCAATATAGTGAGACCCTGTCTCTACAGAAAAAAAAAAAAAAAAATAGAAAGAATTAGTTGGATGGGGTGATGTGTGCCTGTGGTCCCAGATACTCAGGAGGCTAAGGCAGGAGGGCCACCTGAGCCTGGGAGGTTGATACTTCAGTAAGCTGTGATGGCACCACTGCACCCCAGCCAGGGTGACAGAGCGAGACCCTGTCTCAAATATATATATATTATTTATAAATAATGACTTACAGTAGGGATTCAGCCTCTTTCAGTGGAATTTTCATCTGCACTTTATGCCACTACAATATTAACCAATTTCTGAACAGAATCAAAACCATCAAAGGTAATCAAAGGATGGGGGTAAAAAAGGTAATCAGGAGAGTTAGGCATAACAGTTAGAGAGGAAAATACTTCCTCACCCCATGACTATACTATTTTGAGAGAAATACAACTAACGTGATGAAGTCAGATGTTGATCCAGTAGAAATAGGCATATTCCACAAACCCCTCCTCTGCCCCCCACACACACACCAAACACTAATTTTTGGTACATTTTCATAGTATCTACTTAGCTAACATTCAGGATATAGCAACAATACAGTGGTCTGGGTAAATATTAAAACTGAGATACCAGAGCCTACAAGATGTATGGGCATTTGCTTAAATTTGGACAAATATGTCTTTTAAATGACAATGGGCTGCATATCTCTTAAGATGACAGGAGGATAGGCATACTGTTTATTACATGTAATTCATTCAACAATACATTGAATCCCTATTATGCTTAAGTACCAATATTCTGAGTTACATTCATGATAAGCATAATTATCTAAGACAAGTTATGACAGAACTTCTCAACACATACATTCAGAGAAAAAAATTCCCAAAGTGTGATCAGAGGGAACTGACCCATACAATTATTCCAGAGAAGGAGATTCTATAGCCAGGTAGGTTTAGAAACCACTGTGTAAAATATTTCTGTGCTTAAGGTTTCATAATGCATGTTAACTATCAGTAGTTCTACATTGCAGAAATCCGTTTAACTCTTTAAAATATGTACACTTCCGCATTATGTTTACAGACTCAGAACTGGAAGCAAAACTTGAAGTTTTTCCCTTAGGATTTGATTGAGCTTACATTTCAAAGATGGATACACATAATTATAGCAATTAATATGCAGAGATACAAATATGAAAAATAATGATTAATAGTTTAAAATTACTATCTGTGCAATCTATGTATGCATCTCTGCATTTAGGTTTATAACCATCTCATCTTCCAAATACATTTAGCTTGGTATCTTTATAGATATCTGTGAATTATAGTGACTGTTACCTTACAAGATGCATATTCTCTGGAAAGATGTCACTTCAGGGTTTTCTTTCTCTTACTACGTATTCAATCTAACATCCTTACTTACATCTAACCACGATCCACTAATTGACAATCTTTTACATCAGCCTTTCAGATATCTGCATTTTATGCAGTGGGTACTAGATTGCCCTTTCTCTTACCTTATATAGTGAGACTTTTTTTTTTTTTTAAACTCTGTGTAATCATAGATGTAGAACAAAACTGAGGTCTCTGGCTTTTTCCCCTTTCCATTGCAACTGTTGCAAATATTCAAAATCACAACTCATGCTATTAATTTCAGCTGATATTTTCAACTCTCTTAACCCAGCCCTACATCCGACAGCTGTAAAGGCTTTCAGCCATAATAAATCTCTGCCTGACTTCCCAAAGCAAACAGTGCTGAGGAGAGTGATCCCTCCAATAACATTTTGTCAGCTCAAATCACCACCATAACATAAGTGATTCAGACAGTCTGAACTGACTCCAGGCTTCCCAACCTCCGGTCCTTATTTCCTATTTTCTTTTACTCATGAACTGTTTTTAATATTCTGAAGACTCTAAAAATGTTGTGTTCATTCCTTAAGATTGGCTGAATGCCCACTTAACAAGCCGTTCTTTTTCCCCCTCTCTCTTTAAGAAGATTCTGCCTCGGGACCCGCTTAGATTACCACATTTGGAAACAAAGTTTATTCGAGTCCAGTAATTTAGAAAAAACAAATAATAGAATAGCTAAACTCTAATGCTATAACATTAAAATACTAGTAAATCTTTATTTTTGGAACTTAAGGGAAACAAAGTGATTTCCCTTGATATGCTTCATTCCAGAGAGTGTGAGGTTCATGCAGCACTATCTACTGTGTATGTACATCAGTGCTCCATAACCTTTTCAACACCAGAGATCCGTTTCATGGAAGACAATTGTTCCACGGGTTGGGGAGTAAAGTGGATGATTTCAGGATAATTCAAGCGTGTTATCTTTATTGTGCACTTTATTTCTATTATTTTTAGGAATATATAATGAAACAGTGACACCATAATGTAAAATACGGTGTAATACAACTCACCATGTTGTAGCATCAGAGGGAGTCCTGAGCTTGTTTTCCTGCAACTGGATGGTCCCATCTGGGGGTGATGAGAGACAGTGATAGATCGTCAGGCATTAGATTCTTACAAGGAGTATGCGCTCTAGATCCCTGCCATGCGCAGTTCATAATAGGGTTTGCGCTCCTTTAAGAATAGAACGCTGCTGCTGATCTGACAGGAGGCAGAGATCAGGTGGTGATGCAGGTGATGGGGAGCAGCTGTAAGTACAGATGGAGCTTTGCTAGCTCACCCACTACTCACCTCCTGCTGCTGTGGCCTGGTTGCTGACGGGTACCAGTCAGTGGCCTGGGGATCAGGACCCATGATGTACATCATCAGTAACGTGCTGGGTGTATGAATGGGCTTCCTTGGAGTTGAGTCCCCTGAAAAGAAGTTAAGTCAAGCTATGTGGGCATGGTAGAAGAACATATATGTTGTTAAAGGACATGTTTTCAAACAGCAAAAAAAGGCAACGATAAAGAGTACAGAGCCTTTGATTCGGACAGATCCATTTTCCATCCTGAAGCTACCGTTTGACAGTAGCTATGTGGGCCACTGGTTCCTTATATAAAAACTGGGGCTATTATGGTCTGCCTAATTCAATAAAACAGGACTTGTTTTCTTTTTCTTGCTGCCAGCAGTGTCTGTGTTAAAACCAATAAGTTGCTATTGGTTTGGGATGAGGTGTTACCCCAAAGCACCTGGAAAACTTGTAATTTCCCGAATACCCCAGCCTCTGCAAAACCTTAATTTGAATAATCCTGGCTACAAAAAAAATCAGCATTTCCTGGCTGGGCATCGTGGCTCGTGCCTGTAATCCCAACACTTTGGGAGGCCAAGGCAGGCAGATCACCTGTCAGGAGTTTGAGACCTGGCTAACATGGTGAAACCCCGTCTCTACTAAAAATACACACACAAAAAGTAATTAGCCAGGCATGGTGGTGTGTGCCTGTAATCCCAGCTACTGGGAGGCCAAGGCAGGAGAATCACTTGAACTGGGGAGGTGGAGGTTGCTGTGTGCCAAGATCGAACCACTGCACTTCAGCCTGGGTGACAGAGCAGGACTCTGTCTCAAAACAAAAAATAACAAAAACAAAACAAAACAAAACAAAAAAAAAACACACACACAGCATTTTCTATCCTTTCTATTATATGTTACTTCAGAAATATATATTCTAAAACTATGCATTCTTTTATTTGAATGAAATTACATGAGCATACCAATTATTTTTTATTTTTCCAATACTAAGATAATTATGTTGTTTATTAAATGCTGCTATATGCTGGGCATTACTGTGTTTAATTACAGATAAACTCTGCAAGGTAAACATTATTATGACTATTTTGCAAATGACAATGTTAAAAATCAGCAAGCTTTTGAGCTAATAGCTGTAGAAGAAATGAAAACTTGAACTAGGTTTTATAGTTTGATTCAATCAGTGGAAAAGTCTTTGCTTTAACATTTTTACTATTATTCAACAATATTTTTTTTTTAATGAGACAAGGTTTCACTCTGTCACCCAGGTTGAAGTGCATTGGTGCAAACACAGCTCACTGCAGCCTCGACTTCTTGGGATCAAGTCACCCTTCACCTCAGCCTCCCAATGTATGGAATTACAGGTGTCAGTCACTGTGCTTTGCTAATTTTGAAACAGAACTAAAAATGATGTAAGTGTCTAGGGAGGCCGGATAGTGAAATGGCTAAGAGCCTGAGCTCTTGAGTCTCAATGTCTAGATTCAAATTCCCAATCTTACCACTTACTAACTTTGTCAGTGTGCAGGTTGTTTCAACCTTCCAGGCCTTAATTCTTTCAACTCTAAATTAGGAATAACAAGAGTATCTATTTTGTTGTATTTTTATAAGAATGAGTGAATTCATTGCTCACCACAGCACATGGTTTACAAAAATTGCTTCCAAAATGTTAGCATTATTATTTTTAGCAAAAAACATACTGATAACTAGAAAGCTTAATGAATGTTCTGTAGGTCACACAATTCCTGAAAGAGACTGAATTATACTCAGAATTTCAGAGTCATATAGCATGCATTATTCAGTAACAAAAATATATTTGCTACTATGAACATCTTGCTAGTACTTGTAGAGGTGGTAAGAATAAAGTAGCTTACATCCTTAGATCTTACTTACAGTGTCATTTTGGAAACATACAGTTACAAAAGCAATGATACTTTACATGTGGGTGCTATCATGCTCAACACGCAGAGGACGGAGCGAGCACCCAGCCGGAAGAGATAACCCCAGCATCAGAGAAGCTTCCTAGAAAAACGAACCTCTCAGCAAAAATGCAAAAGAGTGAAAGACGGCTAGGTGAGGGCAGAAGACTAGGTTCTTTCAACCATTTCGTGTTTGACTGTATCAAAACTATTAGCAGCTTTTATACCTAGAGAAAGCATCAATAGACATAGGTCCTCTGAAAATGGCAAGCATATGATAATTCCAGAAACTGAATAATTGGGATAAGATGATTACAAAATGCATAACCTCCTGAAGGTTTTATTATTATTATTATTATACTTTAAGGTCTGTGGTACATGCAAAGATTGTGCAGGATTGTTACATAGGTAGACACATGCCATGGTGGTTTGCTGCATCCATCCCCCCCATCATCTACATTAGGTATTTCTCCTAACGTTATCCCTCCCCAATAACCCCACCCTCTCTGCTCTCCCTCCCCTAGTCCCCCCACCCCCAAAAGGCCCCAGTGTGTGATGTCCTTCTCCCTGTGTCCATGTGTTCTCATTGTTCAACATCCACTTATGAGTGACAACATGTCATGTTTAAGTTTTCTGTTCTTGTGTCAGTTTTCTGAGAATGATGGTTTCCAGTCTCATCCATGTCCCTGCAAAGGACATGAACTCATCCTTTTTTATGGCTGCATAGTATTCCATGGTGTATATGTGCCACATTTTTTTGGTCCAGTCTACCATTGATGGGCATTTGGGTTGGTTCCAAGTCCTTGCTATTGTACACAGTGCTGCAATGAACATACGTGTGTATGTGTCTTTGTAATAGAACAATTTATAATCCTTTGGATATATACCTAGTAATGGGATTGCTGGGTCAAATGGAATTTCTATTTCTAGGTCCTCAAGGAATCGCCACACTGTCTTCCACAATGGTTGAGCTAATTTACACTCCCACCAGCAGTGTAAAAGTGTTCCTATTTCTCCACATCCTCTCCAGCATCTGTTGTCTCCAGATTTTTTAATGATCGCCATTCTAACTGGCATGAGACGGTATCTCAATGTGGTTTTGATTTGCATTTCTCTAATGACCAGTGATGATGAGCATTTTTTCATGTTTGTTGGCTGCATAAAGTGTTTTTTTTTAAGAATTAATGACTGTTTACAGAATTCTAAGCACTGCATTTTCAAACTCAGGCCTGTGATTAATAACCCTGGAAAGCTAAATGTTTCATGACATGGGGAAAAAAAGAAAGTTGCTCCTGTTGGTACAAATGGAGTTGGAGTGTCACAGAAAGGACATTATAAAGGAGTAAAAACATACCTTGTCACCCTTTTGCTCTGGTTGTTGAAATTATACCCTAATTCAACTATTTTTTTTTTCATTTAAGGAACAACTATTTTTGTTCCTCGAGTAATTAAGAGTGAGCATCAACGTATGATTTTGGACACCCTGACTTTATTGAGTCCTTTAAAAATATCTTAGAGATAGAAAGTGCTGTTAACACTTGGCAATGGCTACTAGAGGAAAACAGTAATGCTGAAGATAACAGTTTTGCTGCTAGGAAAATCCGTACTTTCATCTTTCAGTAACTACAGTGACACTCTTTAAACTCTGGATCCTGTTCTCAGGGACTTGCAGCCCATCAGACAAGGCAATAATTCTGTTCAAGATATCTCATTTAGTTTTTCACATAGTACAGATAGTAACAGTAGAGTTTTCACCACATTCCAGCTTTGTAAATGCGCTCGGTGACTAGGTAATCGAATCTGGTTATCTTCGATTTATTTCCTGTATGTCAGCAGATACTAGTTGTTCAGTGTTTCTTTTCTCTCCAGAATTCATATGACATTTTAAAAACATAACGTTGTTCTATGATCATTAAAAGGTTATTAAGTTTTTAAGAAATAATGGGACCACCCAAGATAATTAAATAGTGAATAAGAAATAAAAATCTCTGCCTCAAGGCAATATTTGATTCATAACATGGAGTTTAAACTCCATTCTACTCCTCAAAATTCTTATTAGGATGAATTTATCCATTTCATCAACCCCAAATCAAACATTAAACCATGTAGAAAGAAAAAGGGTCAAACATTTATAACTGTGTTTATAATAAGTTAACCACTATTCACTGATATTTACAAGTTATCAAGTCTCAAACATAAAGTGTCTGCTATGAGACATTTTAGCTTGTTCATATTTTACTCATTTTTAACATAAAATACAATAATTTTTAAAAAGGTTAACACACACACCCTTATTATGCAGCAGACACTATTCTAGGCACTTTGCAACCAGTAACACTGTCATTCATCTCTATAGAATCCTATATATTGGAATTCTACCTGTATCCACATTTTACATTATAGGAAATTAAGGCACCAAGCATAGATAAACGCTCATTTATATAATTCATGAGGAGACTATAGGCTGCTAATAGATTATCCAATATGCGGCAAATGTGGTATAGGAAATAGCCTGGGATTGAAACGATCATGGAATTCATAGTTTTGAAGAGTGGCTATATGTTATTTGAGTATGGCTTATAAAAATGAGAAGGGATTAGTAGAAATCACAAGTAAAGGTTACGTCAAGGCACACTCCTTAAATCCTACACATCACACGAACGAATATATAGTGGGTGACACAATGAATTGAAGAGAAATATGAGGACGAGTGACAGTACTATGTGGAGCTCAACAAAACGTAGTCTAAAGTGCCTGCTTCTCTCAAGGTAAAGAGGAAGTTCTCGCTGGGGTCACACAGGAGGCCTGTGCTCCGCATAACCTCTCTACCACATCTAATTCCATCTGCCATATTTGCTAACTGCCATTGCTTGTATCACTTCTGTAAATCTAGTTCAAGTTCCTTCACCTCTCCACGTGTGAAGGTTCCTAGCCAATACGATCCTAATCCCTCCTGAATAATTCTGTATTGCTATTTGTAGCAGCACCTCGGTCCTGCCAAACATGGTAGTTTTCTGTTTCTAGTTCAGTCCAGTGCTGTTTCCCTCTAAATAGCATAATTCTTCCTACTTGATCTCCAACTCCTAGATTCTTTTTTCTTAAGTTTGTTCATTTTTCTCCTCTTTGAATATTACTTTCTTTATCCACGCATATCTTTTTCCTTTCGTCCTTTTCTTCACTCTTTCTTCTCATCTTTGATGTTTCTTTCTAG